GGAGGTGGACGATGGGGGGGGGGCCGAAGAGAGGATGGGGCGGTCGGCGAGCCGCGCGGCGCTGGAGGACAAAACAGGCAGGTCTTGTGCCTGCCTTGCTCCAGCGGCGCCGAGGTCGGAACCCGAGCAGAGCGTCGCCGGGGGGCGGTGCGCGGCACGACTCCGGGGCCGAGGCCGCAGGCAGCCTCACGCCCGCACGACAGCCTCGGCGATGCTCAGCCCGTGATCGGGCTCCTCGGACCCCGAGTAGCGCTCGCCCTGCGGGACCACGGGTGGCACGAGCTCCCGTCGGATGATCTTGTCGAAGAGGCGCGTGCCGCTCGGCATCCCAAAGTACGCGTGCTGCTTCACGTCGTCGAGCCCGTCGATGCTCGCGCCCAGCCTGTGCTCTGGCCTCCGACGGAGCAGGCCCCGGAGGAGCTGCCTTCCGCACTGGTCCTTCTCCGGGGGCGGATGACTTCTGACTGGCCGCGCTGTTGCTCTGCTCCTCCCCCAGCCTCCTCCCCCTTCCTCCCCCCCTGCTGTCCTTCTTCTCCCTCGCTCCACCCGTGCGCCTCCGCTCGCCCCGATTCCCCTTCTCTCTCTCTCCCCCTTCCCCCTCCTCTCCCTCCTCCTCCGCGTAGGAAATCACAGGTGGCACTGTCGGTCGATGGGGGGATGGGGCTGGAGCACGCGGGGTAATTGGCATGTGGGCCCAGACCTTGTATGTGTCGGGGAATTCCAACTCACCCTTCAGAACGCTCTGCTGGATCTGCACAGGGTCGGTCTCGTTGTGGCCAAATGGGCACCTCCTGCAGACAAGAATGTGCAGCATAACGCCCAACGCCCAAATGTCAACCTCTGTGCCGTAGCCTTGCTTTTGCCATGTTATCTCGGGCGCCATGTAATGGGGCGTCCCAACGCAAGTAAAGGTGCGTCCAGTTTCGTCGAGCCGTTTCGCAATTCCAAAGTCGATCAACTTAACGTAACCTCGGGCATCAAGCATCACGTTCTCCAGCTTCAAGTCTCGGTACACAAGCCGCAGACCCCTATGTGGGGCTACGTGGAACCTGAGTTTCTGAGCTCAGCTGCGCCACACTAACTAAGCCAAGCCATATGAGGAAATACATTGACACAGCGAATGTGAACTTTCCTACAGACAAGGGTCAGTCTGCGGTTTGCGGCTCCACCTGACCAGCTGCCCAATCACGACGACGACGACGAGGACGACGACCACGGCGGCGGCGGCGGCGACGGCGACGACGGCGAGAGCAGCGTCGACGGCGGCGACTTCAAAGTCACCCGCCCGCCATCGCTTTGCCCACGGGCCAACCCCGTCGCCCGCGTGGCTCCCCGCACCGCGCCGAGGCCGCTCGAGGCCAGCCGTGCGCCAGCAGGGGGTGGCTGCCGCGGCTGGAGGAGACCGACACGCTCGCGGCCGGGGGCCGCCGCCGCGCGCCCCCCCGCAGACACAACCGCCGCGCTCGCCCAACGGGAGGTCCCGTCGCGCCCTCTGCACGTGAGCAGGGACCGACCGCCCCGGCATTCCTATAGGCCTACCACGGCATGCTCTTAGAACCCCCAGACATGGTCTAAGAGCAAGCGCAATGATCTTAGAACGTAAACCCGATGTTTTGTATCAAAACAATTTTGCAAAAAAATGAAAATAAAAAAGTGCCAGCCAGAAATGTTCTAAGAACACTTCGTTAAAATAACGCAGGGTTCTTAGAGCATGCTTTGGTCGGCCTTTAGGCGAGCCAGGACGCTTCGCCACTGCTTGCTGCATGCTTTTGCACACCCCAGCGAAGCCCAGGAGGCTGCCAACACGGCTCGGGGGCGGGCCAAGAGAACCCTCAGAAGCCCCCCAACAGACAACAAGCATGAATGCTTCTAGGATGTTGCGGTGCGGTTCTGGCATGCCGCCCTTCTCTGTCTTCAGAGCCCATAGGGCAGAAGAGGCCCCGTAAAATCGCGGCAAGACGGCCCAGACAGGCCCAAGATGGGCCAACACTGCGCAAGAGGGGTCCAAACCAGACCAAGAATGCCACAGACCGTTCCCAGAGGGCCCTCAGGAAGGCTCCTAAATGAGCCAAGATGGCCTGGAAGGGCCAAATGACGCCCCAATGCCGCCCCACGACAAACGCAAGAGACCCCCAGGACGGCAAAGAGACCCCCAAGACGGCCGAAGAGGCTACCAAGAGGCGGCTACCAAGCCGGCTGAGGGAAGGCCCTGGAGAGCCCAAGCAGCACCCAAGAAACAACAAACTGAGTCAGTTCATAGATTGTTGCATCTCGCTGGCAATCTTGACATCAAAAAGATGTTGTATGAAGTCGGGCTTCTGAAAAACCCGGGGGAGCGAAAGGATCGTTAGTATAGCCCGACTCGGCCTGACGAAGACTCCAAGAGGGCTCCGAGAAAAGGCCAGAACGACCCCAAGGTACCCCAGATGGCACAAGACGACCCAAGACAACCAAAGAGGGCTACCAAAGAGGGCTTCAAATCGCCCCAACGGCGGCCCAAGACGGTCCCCAGTTGGCTCCAAGCGACCACACATGTTTTTGTTATTAGTTGTTCCTATTCGAGGGAGAAGATGGGAGCGGATACTAAGCAACTGCCAGCATTAAAACGCGAATGTCGCCAAAACACTACGGTGTAAGAAGTCGCTATAGATGTGAACAGGGAGGCATCGAGAAAACGGTTGCACTTGAAAGCCAGTTTCTGCCTCAGCCAGCGTGTGGAGCAGGCGCACGACGACAGAGATGGCATGCAGGGCCACCCGCGTGACCCAGGACCGCCCCAAGACGGCCCAAGAGGTTCCCAAGACGGCCCATACCCAAGATAACCAGAAGACGGCCAGCGGCCTGCCTGCAACATGGACAAGAAAAGGCCTACAAAGATCCCCACACCCCAGATCCTTCCAAATCCACAAAAAAACATCCTCCTCCTCCTCCTCCTCCTCTTCCTCCTCCTCCTATCCAATCTTGATTCCAGCAGTCTCGCACTGCCGGAGCCCTGCTGGGGGCCGCCGCGAGGAGGGCCCGCAGACGACACAACAGAGTGCCGGGCGGGCTGCGTGCGGATGCCAGGAGGGAGATGCAGATGCATCCGCTCCTCAGCCATCGGCCCGTCCGTGCCAGGCATGCTGCAGTCCGCTCGCGTGGCAGGCGGTAGCCAGCTGGATCCAACCCCTTTCTCAGACCCCGTCAACAGGCCACCCCCGACACAGAGGGCCGGGGACAACTGAGCCGTCGAGCACGGCGCGCGGCACTGCAGGGAGTCCCAAGAGAAAGAACCCCAGGGCCGTCCTCGGTCGTCAGGAAGGGAAGCAGGAACAGGAATAGCAGGAGCAGGAGCAGGAGGTGGAGGAAGGGGACAAGGACGAGGGGGAGAAGGAGGAGGAGGAGGAGGAAGAGAAGACAAAGCTGGAGAAGAGCGGAAAAGAAGGAGGGAGGAGCAGGGAGAAGAGGATAAGCAGCAGGCGGTGGCGGATACGAGTAGAAGACGGAAGAGGCATAGGGCGAGGAGAAAGAAGAGGATGACACCAAGGAAGAGGAGGGAGGAAGAGGCTCGAGGGGAAGGCGAAGGATGAGGAGGAAGAGAAGGTTGATGGGTGAAGGTGGAAGAAAAGGACAAGGAGGCGAGGGGAGGTGAGGAAAAAGAGAGAAGCACAGGGGGGAACAGCACGAGGAGTAGGCGAAGGTGGAGGAGAAAACAGGGGTAGATGCGAAGGAAGAGGAACGGGGAGAGGACGCTGACGAGGTGGAAGGAAAGTGGGACGCAGAGGAAGAGGAAGAGAATGAGAGGGGGAGAGGTCGAAAACGATAGAAGAGGTGGAAGAGGAGCAGTGGACGGAACGCCTGTCTGGCCGAGTCCCCCGCGCAGCGGTGCGTATATCACGGTCGTGCAGGTGCTCCAGCGCCAGCAAAACTGAGCCAACGTAGAACTGAGCCTCGCCGTGAGCCAATGGTCTTCCAATCTCGAGCACAGCGGTGTAGAGGTCGCCACCAGTAATCAGGTCCGTCAAAATGTAGACGCTCCTGGTGGTCTCGAGCGTTCTGACCAACTGCAGCGTGAAAGGGTGATCCATCTCGGCAAGTAACTCTGACTCTCGAAGTGCTAACTGTGCTTTCAATTTGCCATGCGGGCCCATTTTGCGCACCTGCTTCAACGCGTACCTGAGACCTGTCTTTTTGTGTTGCACCATCGAGACGCGTCCGAAGCCGCCAACCCCGATGAGACGGATGCTTGTCAATTCGCTGAGCACGACATCGGCGTCTTGAAGATCCATGCGCTTTACCAACTCCGACCTCAAATCTTCCGTGAGCACGTTCAGAAAATCTGCCTATCAGATGTTCACAAACACCTCAACACATGGCACGTCGACCAGGAAATCCAGAACAGCAAGATTACTTAGCTTATTAGTAAAGCGGGCAAAGACAACTATCCGACTTGAGGACCCCAATGCGAGCATCGACTTTTCTAGCAAACCTACGTTTCCTTTCGAGGAGTGTCTGAGATGACCCAGTCCAGGTGCGAATGCATTTTCCACGGCAGCACATCCAACATTGTATGCCTGAGGTGATCCAGCAAGGCGGCAATGCCACGCACACGGTAATTACGCCTGGTCCGAAAAATAATTCCCCCCTGCCGCACGAAGCCCTACATCCGTGCAGCCAACAAGAGTTAACCGACTCGTGCCTTTTCAGTACGCCGTTGAGCGGGCCAAGCTCCGTCCCACAAGGACGCGCCGCCGACCTGGCATAAGCCAGGGGGTGCGGAATCCAAAACCGACGGGCTGGCATCCCCAAAACTGTTCCTCAGAAGCCGGGGTGAGGAAGGACGATGCGAGGAATGGAGGAGAGGAGAGGAGGACAGAGGGGGGGGACGGGACAAACGGCCCCTTATCTCTGGCTTCAAATGTGGACTCGAGGGGAGCACGGTCGCCACAGGCTCGGGTGCGAGTAAGATCGGGCACGTCCGGCCCAGTGCAACTCAGTCTGAGTGTCAACGTGTCTGGACATGACTGGGTCTCCCCTGGCGGACCCCGCCTGGGATGCCCATATGTGCCATGCCAGCTACATCGAGGTGATCATTCGGGCTCTCAAAAAAGAGAGGAGCGGGGAAATCCAAGCCAGCGTGTCGCCAGAGATGTCCACACGATCTAGACGAACGGGCCCGTGTAGGACCCCATGGCGGTTCGGGGTGCCCCAATGCCGTGCCTGCCACATCGCGGTGGGCATGGGGCTCTCAAGACAGGAGTTGGGGAACGCAATCTAGCGGTTCGCCTGAAACGCCTCCACAATCTGGCGCGAACGGGCCCGTGCACTTTCCCTGGGCGAATCCCCCTTGGGATACACAAGTGGCATGCCTGTTACATCACTGAGGCCATCGGGCTCTCGAACAAAGGAGTCGGGGAACAAAAATAAGCGTTCCGCCCGAGATATCCACGCGATATGGGCGCGAACGGGCCTGTGTAGGACTCCCTGGCAGCTGCCCCTTGGAGCGCCCAAACGTCACGCGCCTAATACATCTCGCTAATCACGGGGCTTTCAAAGCAGAAGAGTCGGGCAACAAAAACCAGCGTTACGCCGGAGTCGCTCCACTGTCAAGGCGCGAACGGACCCGTGTAACAACCCCTGGCGGTTCCACCTTGGAATGCTCAAGTGGCATGCATGCTTCAACGAGTTGACAACGGGGCTCTGAAAAGAGTGGATTCGGGGAAGGATGCCCAGCTTTTCGTCGAGACATCCCCTCAGTCTGAGCGCAAGCGGGCCCGTGTAACACTCCCGCTCAGACTTTGGACTCCGAGGTGCCATGCCTGCTGCATCACTCTGATCATGGAGCTCCCAGTTCAGAGGAGTCGGGAATGCCAAAACTTGTGGTGTGTTTTAGAACAAGGAAAGGCGACACCAACACCAACAGGGCGAGGAGATGCGAGGAGGCAAAGGGGAACTCCCTGGTGGTGTGGTCCCCCCCTCTCGCTCGAAACATCCCCAGACTCCAGCTCGGAGAGGCATCGTGGACCTCCTCGCTGGCGGTGGGCCCCCTGGTGGTGTTGGTATCGCTTCTCCTCCCTCCGATGTTTGAGACATCCTCACGATCTGGTCGCGAGAGGGCCCGTGCAGGACTCCTCGGCGGCTCCCCTTGGGATGCCCACGTGCCATGCCGAATTCGTCGAGCTGATTATGGGAGGACGGAGTCGAGGCAGCCGAAATCAGCGTGTCGCACGAGAGGCCACCACAATCTAAGAGCGAGCGGGCCCGCGTAGGACCCCTACGGCAGCTCCTTGGGCTACCTTACGAGCCACGCCATCGACTTCGCGACGACCATGGGGGTATCACTGGAGAGAAATATGGAAGCCCCAAAGCAGCGTGTCGCCTGATACGTCTCCACCATCTGGGCGCAAATTGACCCATGCAACACCCCCTGGCGGATCCCACTTGGGATGCCCAAGCGCCGTGTCTGCTGCATCGCGGTGACCACGGGGGGAGCCAGAACCAGAGTTTCACTTGAGACATCCCCCCGAATCTGAGCGCGAGCGGGCCCGTGTAACACCCCCTGGCCTGCTACACCGCGCTGTTCATGAGTGAACGCATCGCGGTATGACTGGCGAATCTGGATGTGAGTGGTGAGTCTGAGTGTGAGGATCTGGGTATTCGAGATTCTGACTGTGAGAGAGGCTGAGCTTTGGTGAACATGAAAAAGAATGAGTTTGAGGGTGGGGGAACCTGACCGCGACTCAGCCTGAGCGTGTACGAGTCCGAGTGCGAGTGATCTGAGTGTGAGTGAGTCTGCGTTTGAGTGAATCTGAATGTTCGCTGGTGTGTGAAAATCTGAGACGCCCGAGTGTGTGCGTATGATTGCGAGTGAACCTGGAGGGGTGAATGGGTCTGGATGTGTGAGAGACTGAATCGGAGCAGAGTCGCAGTATGAGTGAGTGCGCCTCTGAGAGTAAGAAGCCTGCACGTTAGCAACCGAGCCTGAGCGAACCAGAATGAGTGGCAGGGAGGCGGGGGCAAAATGAGGAGGCGGAGGCGTGGCACAAATAACAAACAACTCTGGGCTCTGTGCGTGGGGAACACATAACGGCATGCAGCGCTCACGGCATGACGGGCACGACATGGCACGTACGGCATGGCGTACGCGGCGCGGGCAGCACAGCCCTGCACGGCACGGTACTGGTTTCGTTACGCCGCGAGGACTTTATTACCGCGACACGGAAACGTGCGGAAGTCCCGCGCCGACCAGCAGCTAATCACGCGAAGAAAATACACGTATTAAGAACGTGAAAGGCAATGACGCACAACATAGTGCGGGGCCACATGAACCAACTGTAAAACACAAGCCCTACTAACACCGTAGCAGAACGCACGTGACGTGATGATTCAAGATATCGGGAATTGAGGTTGAACTGGATATAGAAGTGATGCGTTGCTGGCCGAGCCGGAGAGCATGATTGGAGTTGAAGCGTGAACGAAATCAGGTCGCATAGCAGCACACGGACGCGCACGCGCGCACACGTGACCACCTGGCAAGACACTACATCACACGGTACCTGACGGTACGGCACACCAAACAGGGATGACACCACATGGCAAGGCACTACACAGCAAGGCACCAGGGACCAACCGCATTAGATTCACATGGAAGACGGCCCACGGGAAGTATCAATCAATCCTTGAAGCGTTTCACTCACTTGAGAACACAACGGCGATCACTTAAAGCATTCCCTGCTTAGGGGACACACCGAATGCTGACAGCTCAGTCCGTTCAGGGGGGCTCGTTTACCCTGCGGCAGCATCGGCAATCAGATGTAGACCCAGACTCCCTGTGGGAACAATCCTGCAAAGTGCCTGAAGCTGCGTCCAGCCGCGGTTTCGTGGGGACCCCCCTGGCGGCCATAGAGAACAAAACGTAAGCGCGAGAGAAAAGCAAACGCCTTATCCAAGCACCACAGCACGGCAAAGTCGCTCACGACCGTAACAGTTGCACTGCGCGGCTCCTCGAAAAGCAGGCCTCGGTCGCCGAAGCTGCCGTTCTTGCCGAGCGTACGCACAATCCTGTAGCGACATTTGGTTCCGGGGGGGGAACGGTCTGAGTGAAAAATGCCCAATGCCCCCCCTCCACATCTTTTCCGCGCGGTGTCGGGTGGGTGCTGTAGCCCCCGAAGGGCTGGGCCTTCAGCGTGGCCCTTCAACGCATGACTGGATCCTGCCGTTGATCTGAACTTCAAGCACTCCAGAAGCCACCACGTAGAGCGAGGCGCCCAATTCGCCCTGCTCGATGACGCGGGAGCCTCTGGCGTAGCACCTCGGCACGAACGACTTGAGAACGAGCTGGACCTGCTGAGGTTTTGGGAACGCCTGGGGCCTCAATGCCCATGGTTCTCACCAGGTAGCTCTTCAAAGTCGCCCTTCGGATGACAACCCCCCCTCGCCAAATCATATAAAAAAGGTAAGGATGACGGGCACCAATACGTTATCTTGTGCGTGCGTTACCAAACTCATCCCGTGAAACCGCTCCTCCAATTTCACCATGGTTTCTCCTCTCGCACACTTTAACTACACGGCCCTCCTGCTGTTTTTGCCACTGCAACACCTAATATGAATGCAAAATGATGTGAAGCGCCTGGGCTGGAGAACACCGCGCGTAAGTTCAATGTTCTCGCTCCATGATTGCACCCCGGCGTCCTATACTGACTCATACCAGCGGCTAGTCGCGCGCTTGATGCAAGAACGCTACCCAGAATCGCTCGCTGACTGGACCGTTGCGCCCATATCTACATTATGTAACGTACCCGGGTTCAGCTAAAACCGTCGCCTTGTACATGTATCCTTCCCCCCCCCTTCCAGCGACTCCATCGAGCCATTGGAAATAAGCGCGATTACGTATGTGTATCCACCATCAGTTTCTAGTAGTCATGAAATCCGTGAGTTCATGCTTTGGTGCCCCAGCAAAGGAGCTCAGCAACAGACTTTAACACACCATACTCCGGTTAACAATGTAGCAGTGGTAACAGCGTCTAGAATCCTCAGCTAGAGATAGATGCTGAGCAACAGTTTGCAGGCGCGTTTGTTCAAAACTGCGCACCATAAGTCAACGCTGTTGTGCGCAGCGCTGTTCGCCAGCGCGTGCCCTAAATAATGCGTTTCTAATTACGTGTGTTGTGCAAGATGTGAGGAAGAATGTGTGGCGCAACCGACGTTGCGAAACCTGGAAAACTCAATACATGTCATATGGTGTGCATGTGTGTGTTTGCTAGATGTGTGGAACAACCCATGTCATACAATAGATGTGGTGCAACCTCGGTTGTGCAACCTATGTTGTTCAGCCTATGTGGTGCAGTGTCGGTAGTGCGTAATAAGTGTGGTGCAACCGACGTGGTGCAATATGTGTGGTACAATCCACACTATGTAATATATCGTGTGCAATGTATGTTGTGTAACCGACGTGGTGTAACCGACGTGATGCAATGTGTGTTGGACAATTGAAGCGGCGCAATAGTTATGTGGCAACCTCTGTGGCCCAATATTCGCAATGCGGCCTAAGTAAATGCAATGTCGATTGTGAGGCCGATCTGCGTGGAGTAATGTATGTGGCGCATGTTATGTGGTGCCGCCTACGTAATGAAATCTAGACTGTGCATTCTAAGGTGTGCAATTCTTGTGGTGCAATGTACGTGGTGCAAAATATGAGGCGCGCAACGGATGTGGTGCAATCGGCGTGGTGCAACAAGCTGTGTGGATCAAAAATAGGTTGCGCAATCTACGTGCTGCAAGCTGCGTGATGCAAACTACGTTGCGTAAGTGCTCACGCGTGGATTGTCAACCCACTGCTCGTGCAATCATCCCATCCACCCACGCAGAACTTGGTTTGCTCAACCCATGCGGCGGCGATTGCAGTGACTGTTTGGCGCTGGCTGGCGCATCCCTGCGGCAGCGCTTGCGCGCGCAAGCTCGCGCGCAGAGCGGCCAGCTAGTCTGGCGCGACCGACGTGGCCGCGGTGGCGTTGACCGCTGGGGGGGTTCGCAGTGCGTCTCGCAAGCCGAGCTAACGCGCAGGCAATTCGGTGCGAGTTGGTGGTTCGGGCGGGGACAATGTCATGGCGACGTCGACAACGGCATGCACGAAGACGATAGTAGCAATGCTGGTTAAGATGAAGACGATGACGATGACAGGGCCAATGACGGCGCCGATGCAAATCACGCCGATGACCATGATGGTGTCCACGCGTCGGCGGTGAAGGTTTTGGAATGATGCTGACATGCGCAAGCGGCCGACGGGCGCGAATGGCCCGCATGGTGATATTTGGCACCTATCGCGCCCCCCAAACAAGCGCGCAAAGCCGTTCGAATGACTCTGGCGCGCGCGCGAGGCCCGTTAGGTCGAATTCGATGGGACAGTTGATAAACTTGCGTTTTTTTGTTGGAAGAACTTCGCAAAAGCGCGCGCGGACATGTTGCTTGAACAAAACATGTCGCCAAACCATTGGCTGCTCAATTATTCTCAGGTAGCTGAATCTTGAGATCCTTGCGAAACGCATGCGGTTTGGAAGATTCCAGCATGCCCGCGCGACGACGCGCGCGCGTCAACCTCGTTTAATTTTTCCTGGAAGCGAACAAATCCATTTGTCAACGATGAAGGGAGACGGTACGGGGTCTGGCTGAGATGATATGAGTTCATGCTGAATGTGAAGGACGGGGCAGAGTCGTATGTAGATCGCACTATCCCAGGGAGGGTCAGTACTGCAAAACCTAGAAGGAGAGCAGGGCGGCACGGTCCAAGAGGGCCCCGAGTCGCCCAAAGGTCGTTCCAAGATGCCTAGAACAGCCTCAAGGTGGCCCAAGAGGCCTCTAAGACGCCCCAAGAGGCCTCCAAGAGGTTTTCCAAGAGCACTCCCATGATGGCTCCACGCGGCAAAAATCACTGATTACTCTTCGGTTGTCAAAGGAATTTGGCGTTCTCGCCTTTTCTGTTTCCCGACGTTCCAAAACAGCCCAAGAGGCCCCTAAGACCACCCAAGAGGCCTCCAAGAGGACCCCAAGACGGCCGAAGAGAGCCCCAAGACGGCCTAAGCGGCGCCCAAGACGGCCCAAGAGGGCCCCAAGACTGCCCCACGAGGGGCCCAAAAAAGGAAGCACGAACCGAACATCCGAGCCTTCCGCCCAAAGGTGACCCCAAGAAGTCCTGAGAGGCGCCCAAGACCGCAAGAGGCCCCCAAGAGGCCCCAACAGGCCCCCAAGAGTCTTCCAATGGGGCTCCCAAGAAGCCCAGGAGGCCCCCAAGAGGCCCAAAAGAGGCGCCCAAACTCGCCGGCCCGCCGCCGCTGGCCGCCCCCCCCCCGCGCCACCCCTGCCGCGCGCCTGGCCTCGCTCTGAGCGGGCCCGGTTCCCTCCTCCCTCCCGCCGTCGCCGGGCGCCTCCTCCCTCCTCCCCCCTCCTGCATGGTGGCTTACAGTCATCGGCCTGACCTAAGGAACGATAAATAAGGAACGAAGCCCCTTTCTTCCAAGGAATAACGCATAGGGAACGATGAACAAATTATAGACAACGCATAGGGAACGATAAATAACGCATGCAAGCCTAAGGAACGACCGAGCCCCTTTTGAAAAGTAAGTGTTCCTTATTCAAGCCGCTCACTGTAATTCACTTTTCGTGCACACGCCAACGCCTTATCGCCAGCGCAGTGACTCAGCCTAGCCGCCGGCGAAAAAACGCCTCCGGGCATTGTGTGAGCCACCGGCCCCCCTGATTTGCCAGAGGCTAAAAAGACACCGGCCCTGCCTGCCTGGTTCCCCACGGCCCGAAGCAACTCGTCTCGCTTCGAAGCAGCCCACGCGGTCCACCGTGCAAGACCGAAGGGTTCGAGCCCGAATCTGGCCAGGAGAACTCCCTTTTCTACCAGACGCGTGCAAGTCAGGATCAGCCAGCACAGAGCCGAGAACTCGAATGGAGGCGAACTTCCCGTCGGATCGGGCGGCATCGGCACGAAGTCGACATCGGAGCGGATCGGCTGCGCCAGAATGCACAGCAGCGCAACGCAAGCGTCGGGCCGCATCGGATCGTGGGTGTATCGGAATCGAATACTATCAGAATGGTCGAAACCTTAGCTGCCCCGATACGCAACACGCAACACGCATCGTATTGATACGGAGCTTAACACGTAGGGTGAAAACGTAGGCACACTCGCCGAAACGTGGTCCCATACGTGGAGCCAACACGCAACGCATGGACACCGACGTCTTGCACACGGGACGTGCTGCGTTTCGAAACGGGCGTATCGAGGCAGCTAAGGTCGAAACCGACACCCCACCGGACCCCTCGGATCGGTGGAGGAGCTGAAGGTCGTCCCCATCTGTGCTTCCAAGGAGCGCCCATTGTCAGCAGCCACCTTGCCGGCAGCTTCCCACTTGATCAACACATCTTCGTTGGGGAGGGCGTCTTTGGGAAAGAAAGCGAGGCCGATCTCCTGGGCGCGCGTGGCGCGATCGTGAGATGAACCCTGGCAGGCTCCTCCTGGAGAGACTGCACTGAGGCAAGGAGCGCCGCGTTGCTCCTGTGCGGCGGGAGGCGGGGGGCGCTCTCGCCCCGTCGCTCCGCGGCGGGGCGCGGCGGAGGGGAGGGGGCGGAGGCGGCGCCTTGAGATGGGAGCCAGGGCAGGGCGGAACCTGAAGGGTGTTTTTCGTTTCCGTTTTGTGGTCGTTCTCCCTCAGTTGTCTTCAGTTCGCCTTTTTCACGCAGAACGACATCGAAACGAAAACGGCCCAGGAAACCGCCCAAACACCGTTCAGGTCCAGCCCTGAGCCAGGGATCGAGGGCCAACCGAAACACCCTCGGAACAACCACCTCGACAAACGAAGCCCTCTGTGGCAAAAGCGCCCAGAAGGGGGGGGTCGAACAGGGCGGGGCTGCCCAGCAAACGCCCAGGGGGCCAGCTCTGGGGGTCGGAGCGTCCTCCCTTAAGAGGTCGGGGGGGCAGGGTCCCAGGAGGGGGAGAAGGGGGGAGGAACACTGGACAGGCTGAGCGCGCCCGCGTCACACACGACATCCGAAACCCTCGCCGGGCGCGGGCAGGGACGCCCTGTCGATTAGGGGGGATGCCACAAAGGGGGAGGGAGGGGAGAGGAGGAGGAGGGAGGAGGAGGAGGAGGAGGAGGAGGGGAGGGAGGAGGAGGAGGAGGAGAGAGGAGGAGGAGGAGGAGGAGGAGGAGGAGGAGGAGGAGGAGGAGGAGGAGGGAGGAGTGAGGAGGAGGGAGGGAGGAGGGAGGAGGAGGAGGAGGAGGAGGAGGAGGGAGGAGAAGGAGGGAGGAGGAGAGGATGAGGAGGAGGAGGAGGAGGAGGCC